GCAGACATCAAGGAAGGAGAGGAGCCCATGGAGCAGAGCTAGAGGAAGTTGGTGAAGTGAAAAAAAACCAGGTAAGTTTAGATCTGACACTAGGGAACAATATTCTGAGAGGTAGAACAGGTTTCCGAGCAGCTACAGAAGACCCACTGCCCGGGATACTTAACTCTAAACTGGACAAGTCAGAAAACGAGCTGTAGGGAACAATCTGGCACAGACAAAGGATGGAGTAGGTGCCTACTCTGTGCCCCAGTCTTTCATGTTGCTGGTTTTCAGTGTTTAAACTAAAAATCCCTCCTTTTAAGCAAAACGAGCTGAAATAAAGCCGCAGCGTCCTGAAGCAGACCTGTAATGACATGGTTAAGATTGTCCTCAAAGTGTTCTTTACAGCCGCGGCGCTGTGACCGAGCACTTAGTTTGGGCACATAATTAGCCAGTTCGTTCTCACAGGCATTTGTAAGAAGTGGTGATGGAGGCCTCGGAGACCTGGCCTTACATCTTTCCCCGGGATCTGAATTCCTCTTTACCAGGCACTGTCTCAGCATATTCCAGGACGCACTGATACCCGCTGCGGGAGTGAAGGATGCCAAATGCATCTTCAGCTTACATGCAAATGCCCCCAGTTAGTGGCCTGTCTGCCCTTTCTGAGGCCCAAGGGTGAATGACATAACCCTGTATACCTGAGACCCTCTTGAGAGAGGCAGAGACAAATTGAAATTATAAGCCGGCATGCCCTCAAGGTCCCAAAAGCCTTTCCTTCTCTGACCTTTCTGAAAGCATTTTAACAGTGCAACGCTGCCTTCGCCCAGACAAAAATGTCCACCAAGTCACAACACGGAGGAGCTATATGGACTTGCATACGTCCCTTGCTGCCAGGGATAGCTTCTGGAAGCCACACATGGAAAATTTAAGCGTCTCTTCTAGCAAAAGGGAGGTGCCCAATCCTTCCTAGCAAAATGTCAAGTGCTAACACAGGAAGGTGCAGCAGGAGAATGGGCAGGACGGGGTGTGGGTACACATGCGTGTGCGAGGGCAGGGGGTGGGGAGGCAGGGGCTGCTAATGAAGGGAGCTCAATCCAAGAACTGTGTGTGTAAAAAGGAGACAGCCGAACATGTATGCAAGCAAAGAATGATCATGCGTGTCCTTCCCCAATGTCCTTCCATCAGACCTGCCCATAAGTGTGCTACAGGAGCAGGTAAAAAGCCTGGTTTGATAGGCCTGACTGCAGATGCCAAGACTGACCCGTCTGTGAGGCAGGGACTGCTCCCTCGGGCACCGGCTGCTCTGGAAGTCGCTCCAGAGGTCTGGCAAGGCAGTGGCTAGACGGCCATTACCACGTCCCTGCCGCTACAAGCACTTTCAGGCACACAAAGGAGACATAAGACGGCGTAGCCCCCTCGCTTTCCCTCCTGTGCTGCAGCAGCATGCTGCAAGAGGAGGCTGGTCTGCCGCTGCACTGCCTGGCATCCCTGCCTCTTCCCTCCCTTCCTGCCAGTGCCTACCTGTCTGGGCAGAAGAGCTGGCACTGGGAAGGTCTTGGTAGTACACAGCCCGGGGAGACCCTTCTCCACCCCCATTTGGGGAGAGCTTGTGCAGCCAGGTGGAGACCTACTTGCCCTTGAAGGAAGGTCCCCATCAGTGAAGGGGGCTGGAAAGCTGATGGTGGGCACTTAACAGGAAATAAAATGCAACTAGCCTCTCACAATGATGTGAGGTGAAGATGAAGGAGAAGCGAATGAAACCAGTGTGGGGCATTGTATAATATACTGGATTTAGCCTGGATTGAGAGAAACATTCAGGGATCCCCACTCTGCATATCCCCATGACACCTCTAGATATTTTGAAATTTCACTATGGTGATGAATAAAAACTCTTGCATGGGCACCTGCAAATGGAAAACCAATTCAGAAACGCTGATCAAAACTTATAATTCAGTTAATGCAGGCAACCGGTTATTTGATATACCATAAAAGGTATATTTTAGCGCCCCAGTGTTAGGCACAAAGTGAACTAAAACACAAAGTGACAAGATAATTACACTTGCTTACAATCACTGACTTCAGCATGTCTGCAGCCGTCTCGTTAATGAGACAAGCCTTAGGAGGTTGTGCATGAAATACATTTTCTGCAGTGCTTTTAAGAGCTGTGTAACAAGAGACAAAAACACAGGCACCACAAACAGGAAAGCTTTGTTCGCTTAGTGGCAGTAAAACTTTTACTAAACAGCAGCAGAGCTGCCATGGGCTACGGACCAGTGGGATGTGAGACTGTTAAACTATAGGCTCCTTCCAATCAACACCATTAATGTGCTGAGAGACTCTATTGACTCTTCAGAGCAGATTTCCCGGTCTGCAGTCATTAAAAGCTATTCCTGCCTCATGGCCACGTTGTGACTCCTGTGACGTGTGTGAGGAATCACGGGTCCACCCGTTCCCCGTGCACAGGCATCCACATTCCCACTGGTACCTTAGCAGCGGGTTTAGCCGAGAAGACGGACTCATTCCAGAAGAAATCCAAGGGGAAGAGCGTGGCGCTGCCTGGGAGGACTCTCACCCTGGCTGGTCTATGGTGAAGTCATTTCTGGCTTGTTTCACTAGCACTAAAACTGCTTTCAACCTCCTCTTTAAACCAATATTGGCACAGACTTCCTGGTAAGTGATAGACTTCTTTTGTCTGAGCTACCACAAGCCTTCCTGTACGCTCTTCCTTAAAACAGTAGATAGGTTTTAAATGAGTGCTGCTAATCCATTTACAGGGTTCATCTTGTTTTCACTCAAGAGCTGCTGCACAGCGATGTATTTGAGCACACTTCACACATTTCAAGAGGCCATCATCTTGTCCGGGATCAACAGCATCCGTGTGCATCTTGTGTGACCCCGAGCAACAAAAGTGGTAATTCTTTGCCTCAGTTTACTTACCCCACAGTGACCGCTGACCCTTCATTCGTTAGTGTTGGCCAAGGCTCAAATGGAAGATGGTGATCTCTCTTGGAGATCATTTTATTTCTATTTTATAAAAAGATCTCCTGGCCTTGTTCTCTGGGTTTGGTTTGGTTTGCTCTATGGTTGTTATTGAATCTGGACTGCCATTTTGTTCTTTCCAGTTGCACAAATAAAGTGCAAGTTCAAAGGTCTCAGCGCCCTCTGGTTAAGGTTAAGTATCACAAGCTTCCTCTCATTTTTTTTTCCATTTTTGTGTTAAATTAGTTCATACACTTGCAATACATTGGCATTATTTATTTCCCAGCATAAGCCCTACACAACTCCATCGCATGGTGTGTTCCACCGCCAAAACGTTGCACACAAATGGAGAAATTAATGACCTTTACACTGAGAAAGCACCAGTACCTTCCCCCCAACCAAATGAATAGCTTTGATGTATTTTTGTGAGGAAATGACACAATATATTTGAAATGCACCCATCTCTGGATGGGGTTAGATCATTTTTCCAAAAATGCATGGCCTTGACACATACTAGACAGTATAATGAGCCCCGGGAATAAATTCATAGCTCCTGTGGCATTTGTACTGTTTTCATAAGGACGAGGGATACCACTTTGCATAATACATTCATTTTTGTGGTATGCTCTGAGTACAGGAAAACCTCATGCTGTCACTCAGTGGATTACAGGAACAGCAGCAGTCGTGCACATGTGATGGGGAAAGCCGAGAAATAGGTTTGTTTGCTCTGCTGTAATACATAAACATGACTGCGGCTGGTTAACGCCCTCCCGCTGGGCGCTTCATGCTACATCGTATGGATGTCATGTTACGTTAGGCTGGACACAAAGAGCAGCCCCGGAAAAGACGATCTTTACAAGGGAAGAGGTGAGCATGGATGTTATAGCTGGGCGCGTCTACACCTGCGCCCAACTGTGCAGTTGTTATTGCACAGTCATTTAGTACTTGCTAAAGCTGTCCCAGCGCCATGCGGGTCATTTCCGCAGAGTCTCGGCACCGCCTGGGTTGTTGCCGTTCGTTGCTACTACACAGCAGTGGTGGTGTCACGGTTTGTGCCCACCAATGCTGTGTCGCCATAGTTCGTCCCATAGCATCTCATGTAGAGTGCGTACTGATTCCCTAAGGCTTGATTCTTCCAGGAGGCGTGAAGAGCAGAATCACACCAGAAGTAAAAGGAACAGCTTATTTTAGCCATCCAGATGTGCTTGGGCCTAACCTGAACCCTGTGTGGTTAATGTGCTGTACTCTACAGCGTGTGTTATCTGTTCTTACTGCACCGTAGCTCATATTGAGATTACAGACTCTTTGGGCAAGGGATTGTGGTTTAAATTTTCAGAAGTGCCCAAGAGATTCAGGAGCCAAATCCTGTTTTCAGTCATTATGGCTAAAGCTCTTCAGGATCTCCAGCACTTTTGCCAATGGGCCCGAGAGTACAAAGTCACTTAGGTGCTTTTGAAAATTTGCCCGTCTCTCTGTTTGTTCTGGAAATTATCATGCTTGCTCCTGGCCACTGGCTTCTTAATAGTCCAGCTTCTCTTGTTGATGACTTCCTATGGGAAGGGTGAATTCCACTGAATGACATTGGTAAATCCCTGTAAAAAAACCCATCTTTCCAGTAGGAGAAGTGGCATCTTAATAACATTAACAATATGCTGTTAACTGAATAGTATGGTCTTAAGCACAAGAAACGGCTGATAGTCCAATAAAGTCTCAATGCATTTATGAATGTCTGATCTATTTTATGGGGTATCCACTTCTCACTTGTTTTTCCATCTCACCCACCTTGAAATCACCATCCTTAGCTAATAGCCAAGAGCAATACTGCATGACGACCATCCTGAATAAGGGGTCCTGCCAATGGCACTTCCAGTATAATATGCTACATATTGCCGCCAGTCCCTTACATCTTCCCCCAGCCTCTTATCTGACACATTTTCATTCAGACCCCTTGGTTTATTTCTTTTCAACATGGGCATTTAAGCATACCTCTAGTACAGGCATTTATGTAATTTAGTTACTTAACTGTAATACGGATCACTTACCTATCATGGGAGACTCTATAAAACTCCATGAATTTGTCTGAGGGACATAGGATTGCAAGACCCCAGCAGCACGGCCGGCTTCGTTCACCCCACCAAACACGTAGACCTTACCACCGCAGACGGTAGCAGCTGCAGAATGCACGGCCTTTGGCAGAGGAGCTATTGTCTCCCACTGATTGGTGATCGTGTCATACCTAAGACAAAAGCGATAAGAACAAGCCCAGATAATACCAAGTTGGGTGAACTGTAAGTGCATGACAGACAGATAGACAAACAGATAAAACAGACTGATATATAACAGGCAGTTAGACAGACAGATAAAACAGATGTGTCAATGTATCTTCTAACACCACAACGAGTCAACTGTTGGCAAATCATGTAATGAATGCCTCTTTCAATCCTTTAAAGCAGATAGTAATAGAGAAACGAAGAAAAATAGATCTGTTTTCTTCATATACCTCTCGAACTTAATTATAGTGTGAGCTAAAGAAACTCAGGACACCTTTGTCAAGGAAACTTCCACTAATTAATTTCTATTAATTAGAATACAGTGAAATTCTTCTCGCGTATCAGCACAGTGATATCCAATAGCAACCGTAGGCAGTCAACTATTAATGTTCTTAAACTGTTTAGCTTGCGAAACTCATCTCATCATCAAATATAATGCAATGCGATAGATCCTTTTACTGAAGTCAATTAGTCATCAGTGCACAGGTTGCACGTGCCTTCATTCAGTTTTCATTGTGTGGACCAAGCTACTGCACTTCAATGGAGGATGTAGCCAAAGGTAATGGGGGGTTTGCTGCTGGAGTTAGATTTCCCCATTGCATCCACATCTGACACACAGCACAACAGAAAAAAATATGCATTAAAGCACTAAATTAGTTTTCAGGTCATCAGTATCGGATTTAATTAAGCCATTGACTATAAGGATGTGCAGTTAATAAACTGTGGGTGAAGATTCGTTTTCAACAATGTCATAAGTACAGGCATTTATTTTTTAAGATAATGTGGCAGTGATCCAAATAGCTCCTGTAAAATGAGTCTTGGAGACAGTCAAAAAATTATATGGTTTTTAGGTTTCAATGTTTCCGGGTAATATTGCACTCAGGCAAGTAATAGTTACCTGAGTAATGATTATTCACAATGGGGGATTAAAAGGATGCAAGCCCTCATCAGTCGCTCAGAGCTTTGTCTCCCGAGATTAGGATGAAGTCTATCACTATTCAAACACTCAAGGATTCCTGAACTCAGGCCCCCAAATCCCTTCTGAAGTGAACATATCTAGTGAGAGACATCATTTGTAAAGTTTCCCACTTGCCAAAATCCAAACTTGGGACAAAATAAAGGATACAAAGCAGGTAACAGAGCAAGGGACATAAAATAATGTACTTAATATACCCGACTTCGTCTGCCTTAAAAAATGTCAGTAGATATAGTTGAGAGGTATTGATAAATGGAAAGCAGAAATGGAAGAAACAAAATGGAAGCAAACTTTAGCCAGCTAAAATGGGATAAGTTCCTTAGAAAGAGCAGAGAGAAATGTATTTTCTAGTGATTTTTGTATACTTTAAACCAGTGGTTTTCAACCTTTTTTTCATTTGCAGACCCTTAAAACATTCCGAATGGAGGTGCAGACCCCTTTGCATTAAAGCACTATAGTGTGGGTATTCACATACTTTTGATTAATCATAGCTATCTTTCATGGAGCCCCTTAGACATAGTCTGCAGACCCCCAAGAGTCTGCGGACCACAGGCTGGAAACCACCGCTCTAAATTCTTTACTGAGAATTAACTTCAGACGGAAGAAATTAAACAACGTGGTTTCAGGAATATATGAATGAGCACAATCATATATTGGGCCCACTTTACACTTTGATGCCAAAAATAAGATTACAAATCTGCATCTGATTACTCATTTCTAAACTAACAGCGCAGGGCACAAAGCAAGAGGTGCCTCCTATTTGTATGCAAGACTCGTGGCAATATTCACTCTCATCCTAATATTGATATGGGGAAAAATCATGTAATATAAACAGTTTGGTACATTGCTCTTGGGACACACTTAACCAACAAGCATCCCCCAATAAGTCAAGCTTTGGTAATTTATCTGTCAACATCTGTCATTTTATAATAAAAAATGATTAACAGTCAAAGGAATACAGTTATTAGACTGGAACTGATCTAACTCGCCCTTCTAATCTATCAGCTTCTGGGATACAATTGAGAGTTGTCATCCAATATATGTTTTCTAACAAAGCCCACAGTGATTTAGTGTCACTACTGGACTTCAATCTCCGATGATGTTTGTGGCCAGTGCATCTGAATGGCATATCACTCCGTGAAGGTGAGTAAGCGTGCTCATGCCTTCCTTGGTGGTAGGCTGCTTGAGAGGGACACAGATTATAGTCAACTGCTTGCCAGTTCTCCCGTGTAATAGTTTATCAAAATACAGGCAGATTATGCCACCCAGATGTTCTGTAGGTGGGGTTTGGTGGGCGCAGCAGGGGTGTGCGTGTGGCAGCGAGTCTCGCACTAAAAGGAATGGTAAATCTCACTACCACCATTCTGGGTCACCCATCATTTTTTTCACCCACTTCCACTGCTCTCTGTTTATTTGCTGCATGAGCGAGTGAAGGAATTAATCTCCCTCTGACTGCCACAGGGAACCTGAAATGACTAAATAGTTTCACTTTGTCTGCAAAGCCGAAGGCTGCAAATCTACCGCACAGAGGTGCAAATAGTGCTGCTTAAATCAAATGCTCTTGTCCCAGTTTCAAGCATCCTTCAGTGTCAAGACCCTTCTCTGAACGAGTAAGAAGTAGTGTTGCTATCTGGTGTTGACTCTACCTGTGGACCAGAACCTCTATGCACACGGACTCATCTAAAGGTGGACCGATTTCAACAAAAGGGTGATGTTAGTCTACTCCAAACCCCATTTGCCATACTGGAAGTCATCTTTGTCTCCATGGACTCATGGAAATTAAGGATAGAAAGGTCCAGTATGTCCTAGTACCACAACCTCCTATGTATTTTGCATTATGCTTACTTGATGTTTTCTGCCCATACGGTCCATTGAATTTTAGCATAGCTTTTAGAACGAAATCTGGTCTTGAACGCCTTCAAGTGATAGAGGATCTACAACAGCCATGACTAGGTTTCTCTAGTGCCAAATTACCTTCATTGTAAAAATATGTGCCTTGTTGCTAATCTCAGTTTATCTACCCTCAACTTCCTACCACTGGATCACAAGCCTTTTTCTGTTAGATTACAAGAGTCGTCTACTATCACATATCTCTCCCCATGTATATTTTTGTAGAACATAATAAAGCAACCTCTTAATCTTTCCTTGGATAAACTAAGTAGCTTAAGCTTCTTTAGTCTCTCCCTGTAAGGCACGTTTTCCACACAGTAAATTGTTTTGGTTTCACTTGACTCCTCATGTGTTCACACCCAGGTTTGCACCAGATTAACTAAATTGGTTTAACGACCGTTGACTTGGTGCAACTTTCTTACGTAGAGAATAATCCCAGCTGGTTCACTTCCTACCTCTCTGCTCTTACTATTTCCATTCTTACTCTCCATCCTCTTGCCTCCACCTTCTGCTATCACGTTCACAATTAAAAGATGTGGCCTCAGATACCTTCTTTGGTCTCTTGCCTCCACTCAAAACTCGTATTTGAGTCTGCTTTTAGCAGCTGCAAATGAATACTTAGTGGGACCTGGATCTAATCTAACCAAAGGTTTTTCTTTCTGCAAAAGTGTGTACAGCACTCCTACCAAACCAGTACTACCTCAAAGCCCCCTGTATCTAGGCTAGATAACAGCTTTCTCTGGGACAGGCTTACCTAAACCTTGTGAGTCTAGTGGCTATTTCTAGCTAAGGTCTTGGGCCTGCCAAATTCATGGAAGGAACTTTATTTTACGATATCGGTAACCTCAGTGTTGTTGTTGTTCATCTCCTTTGTCTGTAAATCTATAGACGATCTATACTGCAGCCTTCTACACCGTTGATGCAGCTTTGTTTCCATTCAAACTTCATGCATGCCTTAATTTCCTCTCAGCTTGGCTATTACAACCCCATCCTTTGCAGTCTCGCAAAGCTGCAGCCATGTGCAGAATGCATCTGCCCTGTCGCTTCACAAATACCAAGTGTCAGGACATCACTTCAACACTGTGCACTTTGGAAACTCTGATACGGGTATCAGTGATATTCCTACGATGCTTTAAACATGCTAGATGCTTTCCAAATACAGAGGACAACACAGTCAGTACTCCGCAGACTACTGTTAAAATTAAGCCTGCTTATCCTCCAGTGGTAGCATGATCTGGGTGGGGGGAAGGAAGCAGACTGATAGGTACAACTGCCCTGGAAGTGGTTGGTGGTGGGGTGGACGGGAACGATGAGACAAGTGGCTGCTGATGGCAGCTACGTATTCACAACTGTGAATGTGGTGTAAACTGGAAGCTACTGTTTCTGCCTTGCCCGGGGCGCCCGGGCTTGTCCCTACACTGTTGTTCTCCAGCTTTGACTCGTGGACCTGATCTCTCTCTCACCTCATTCATCTCTTTCAGCATCTAGGCACTTACACACGTGCCAGACGTCTGCTCCAACATGTGCTAATTAGAAAGCTCAATCCAGCACAGCCTAAGCATCACTTGTATCAGTGTCCCCACACTTCAAAATGACAGTGGGGGTGCTTTAACTAAAGGTCAGTGAATGAGCTTTAGTTACAGTGCCCCTGCCATGGGATGCTGAATACACGAGAGGCTCTCAGAGCCACTCAAATTAAAGTGTCCCCCCCACAACACACACACCGCAGCACGTGTAAAGATGCCCCTGGTTTCTCTCTCAATCTTTTCCAGCATCCTTATTATTAATGGTAAGAAAGCCTTTTCCTTTGGAGCTTATGCCACCTAGATCAGGCTTTCTCTATGTCTTTTCTCATGCCTGAAAACACATTGGTTCATTCTCTTAATTTCTCTCATTCTAGGTTAAACAGCCTTATGAGTGAATAATTTATTTACATTACATAGTAAATAGTCTTTCTGCCAGCCATTATCAGGAGTTTATATACGCACACCACCCACCTTTTTTATACATTATTTAACTCTGGAATACACTTTGCAGGGAAGATGCTATTCAGAATATAACTGTATTGTCTAGTATTGATCTGCTTTTCAAATGGCTCAC